CAAGCGAAAAAATGTTCCAGTAGGAAGAAATAAAAAAACAGGGGTCACCAAATATGTAGTGGAGTGAAACTAGTCTTACACTACCGCATCAGAAGGAAAGAATTCGTGTCAGATAAAAGTATCAACGCGCTGACCTTCAGTAGTGACGGTTGGATTAACTCCACTTATATTGCACACTCCCTGATACGATATTCCAGATTTGGTTTCGCGAAGCTCAGGCCTTCCAAGCACACAAACAAAGCAATCGCAACACGCCGCCGCAGGAAAGCAGAGCGCGCCGTTCGAGGTCGAGAATTGTGTATATGAAAAAAGGGTTAATTACAACAACTCTACAAGACACATAGAAAAAGGAAATGAGAAAAGTGCAAAAAATGAAAAAGCTATGAACACTACAGGACTCCCCCTAGAGCGTGAGTGGATAAGCGAATGCTCGAAATGTACACCTCACTCATTGTAAAACGCTAGTTTAGATGGAAGAACCACCGCACGACCAAAACGTGTGCGATTTTGTGTGTGAGTGGTTGCAGGGGGCTGCAGGGGGTTGCGAAGAAGGGACACTGGGATAACACATAGGCTGTGTAGGGGGAGTGCTCGGCGATGGTTCGTCATCGGGAACAGATACGTCTGAAGATTGCTGAGACGGAAGAAGTTTGATGTAAGCAGGTTTCAAACGATCGAGGCTTACCGAGTCTTTGCAGCCATTTCGGTCCAACACAAAATACTTGTCCTTGCGGTCGATAACCTTGTAAGGACCCTCGTAGCGTGGCGTCAGAGGCTTACGAACAGTATCGATGCGCACAAGAACGTAGTGACGATCGCGAAGATCAGACCTGTGGGTTACGATGCGTGAGTCGTGGAGGTGTTGGGCGTACCGAGCTGAAGTAACTCCTCAGGCTTGTGGCATAGAATGTAGGACTTATTTCTCCAGTGACCCTTGAATCGAGCACCATCTCTCCAGGAAGTCTAAGTGGCGTGCCAAAACTAACTCAGCAGGGCAACAGCCTATGTCTTCCTTTACCCTGTTGCGTATGCCAAGTAGGATTATTGGCAAACGCTCTGACCATTGCGTGCTCGACTGAGAAGCGGTAATCGAAGCTTTCAGTCGGCGATGGAAGCGTTCGACCAAACCATTGGCAGCGGGATGGTAAGCGGTGGTGCGTATGTGAGAACAACCGAGCAAACGACTTAGGTCACGAAACAACGAAGAAGTGAACTGCGGACCTCTGTCTGTCGTGACGGTAGCAGGTGTGCCAAAGAAGGAAATCCACGTTTGGAAGAAGCTTCGCGCTACTGTTTTAGTGGAAACGTCCAGTAATGGCAATGCATGCGGTCAGTGTGTAAATCTATCAACACATGTTAGCAAGTATTGAAAACCGTTGGAAGGGGGCAAAGGACAAACGATATTCAAATGGGCATGCCTGAAGCGAGCAACCGGTGATGAAAAGGTGCCAGAGACAGTGATTGTATGGCAATGGATCTTGCTGGCCTGACACGTAACACAGTGCTTTGGCCACTGTTGGATGTCGGAGCGCATATTGGGCCAAGCCAAGCGATCTGTGATTAACTTAACAGTAGCTTGAATGCCTGGATGCAAGAGGCCGTGGAAATGATCGAAAAGGACTCGGCGGTAACGTTGGGGAACGTAGGGTCGGGGCTTACCCGTAGACATGTCACAATGAACTTTGGAGTCTGAGTTAAGGAGCGGCAGAAGGGTAAGTTTGCTCGAAGGGTTTGATTGCATTTGCATAAATTCAGAATCTCCATCCTGATGCGCAGCGATTTCCTTTATATCAAATGTCGGACGTGAAATTTCGTGAATTACAACGCGGGACAGTGCGTCGGCTACCACGTTGTCCGTGGCGTCTATATGACGGATATCAGTAGAGAACTGCGATATGTAATCAAGGAGTCGGGTTTCACTAGGGAAGACGGTCCGAAGAACCTCGAAATGCAAAAACAAGTGGCTTGTGAACAGTTAGAATGGTAAATGAACGACCTTCAAGGAGGTGTCGAAAGTGTTTCATGGCGAGCTAAATAGCCAAAAGTTCTCTTCCGAAGGTACTATACCTAGTTTGTGCGGGTTGTAATTTACGGGGGAAAAGGGATAGTGGTTCGGGATGACCATTGATGAGCTGTTGCAGAATGGCTGCAACTGCGGTTTGTGACGCATCGGTTTTAAGAATGAGAGGTGTATTAACATCAGTCCGTAAATGGCGCAACGCTGTGACGTTAGACAAAGCATGTTTAATCTTGTCGAAGCGTCTATTGCTTCGTCCATGGGGTTGTATTTTTGAGTCTTTCCTTAAAGCAAGTCGGTTAAAGGTTGAAACAGTATAGAGCAATCAGGCCTAAAGCGGCCGTAATAATTCACCATACCGAGGAACCGGCGCAGGCTTTTGTGGGACTGTGGCATCGGATACTCTCTGCTTGCTTTTGTTTTCTCCGGGAGTGGACTGATTCCAGTGCGATCGATTCGAGAACCGAGAAAATCAACACTGGACTGGCCAAAGACACATTCGTCCACGTTGATGGTAACGCCGTAGTGATCAAAACGCTCACGCATTTGGCGAAGATGAAAGAGATGTTCTTCGTGGTTAGAGCTGGCCACGAGAATGTCATCGATATAAGCAAAAACGAAAGCAAGTCCGAGGAGAGCCTGGTCAATGAATCGCTGAAATGTTTGTGCGGCGTTTCGTAGTCCAAAACGCATACGGATAAATTCAAACTGACCGAACGGGGTGGTTATAGCTGTCTTGGGAATGTCATCAGGGGCGACAGGAATTCGTTAATATGCCCGGACCAAGTCAAGCTTAGTGAAATTTGCTTTGCCTTCGAGGCCAATAGAAAAGCCGTGAATGTGTGGTACCGGATACCTGTCAGGGACGGTGACATTATTAAACTGACGGTAATCACCACAAGGTCGCCAATCTCAACGAGACTTTTTGGGGACCATGTGCAAAGGTGAAGACCATGGGCTATTAGAAGTCTGGACAATACCAAGACGAAGCATTCGCTCAAACTGGGCTTTGGCGTTGGTGAGTTTATCAAGTGATAGTCGGCGAGATCGAGAATCGACCGGTTGTCCACGAGTAACGATGTGATGCATAACCTTGTGTTTATGTGCGGGGCAATTACTGGACGGCAGACACGACGCGGGGAACAATTGGAGTAACTCGGTGAACACAGTGTTAGTAGGTATAGTCATGCGAAGTCCAACCGAGCTGATCGAATTGGTTCTGCCGGGATTGGTGAGGGAGATGACGTTAGCACGAAGTTCCCTGTTTCGTGAGTCGACAATGAGACCAAATTTGGCGAGGAAAGCGACGCCGATGATGGGGCTTTTTACACGTGCAATCAGGAAAACGAAAGAAAACCTTCACCGAAAGCATGATCGCGTGTAAGCAATTTCTGACGGTAGGTCTGGATCCTCGTGTTATTAGCCGCCTGAAGAGTGGGTCCTGTGGGAAGTAGGCAACGTTTTTTTGTTCCATGAAGCAGGACGCTGACCTCGGCACCAGAGTCACCCAAGAATGAAAAGTTTGTTGTGAAAACACGGTTAAAAGGCAGGCGACTAGAGGATCGGCCAACCGAAGTCGTCGACATTACGGGCAGGCTGGGGCGTTTCCCCTTTGATCCTTGGGGATGGTTTTCGGATGCGAGCAACCAGGACGACAATTTTTAGCGGCTTCACCAAAACATCTTTGATAATAGCAAATACGCTGTACAGTGCGCCTAGCGTGTCTGTTTCTGCTTCTCAAAGTGGATCTAAAACATCGACTGCGGAGGCGACGTCCTCCCTTAAATGCGAGTTCGAGTATGGACAGTCGCTGACAAATGGATTCAGTGGGAGCTGGTGATGAGGAAGTCTCAAGTGGGGTGATGACAGCGTGAAAACTAAGCGTTGAAATAAACACCTATCAAGTTTGTCGGCCACTTCCGCTAGTTTGTAAAGTGACGAATCGTTAGTGGATAGAGCGAGAATCGCCGTAGTGTTCGATGGAAGATATTTTAGCTGCAACTGATGTAAGACGCCGCCGTCGCCTTTAGAGGAACCTACGAGTGAGTGCATATTACGGAGAAGCTGTGAAGGTGAACGGCCACGCAGTTCATCTCCGGAGAGAAGTTGAGGAAATCTGGTCTCATCAGAATCTGTAAGGCGTTTCAGAACGGCAGCCTACGGAAAGAATCGTCAGGAAAAGCGTTGAGTAGGTCTACCCCCTCGGCGAACTTGTGCGTGGGAAGTTGGGCTGCGAGGTAGGAAAACACAGAACTTCGAGAAGTGATCCCAAGGCAACGGAAAAGAGCTTCTAACTGTAAAAACCAGATGTGTGCATTGTTAACGTCAAAAGGGGTAGGGAAAACCAACAAAATTAGCAGAAGTGTCAGTGTAGGATGTGGTACTGAACGACCATACGCGGGCGAACAAAAGTTCCAGCAAAAAAAGAAGAAATACAGGGGTCATCAATTATGTAGTGGAGTAAAAACTGGGCTTAAACTATCGCATCCGAAAGAAAGGATTATGGTCAGATAAAAGTACCAACACGCTGACCTTCAGTAGTGACGGTTGGACTACA